TTTATGATCATCCATGGCATCTCTCCTCCAGGAGGGAAGAGTTCCTGGTGTGCTCGTGATTTTGCCTTCAGCACTGCATGCCATTGTCACACCATGTAGGGGGCATGGGAGGGTGGGAAGACTAAGGGCTGGGAGGAAATTCGGCTCAAAGCTCCATTTGGATGCTTATTATGTGATTACAACTTAGGTATGTACTTCTCTGAGTGTAATTATTTACAATCTATGAACTGGGTCTAATAAAACTGTCCCCATGGGGCCATCCTCAGGAACGTGAAGCCTTGCCCAGCACTCCACCTGTAGGACATGTTCAAGAAATGCAGGCCTCTTCTCCCAAGCCAGGGCAACAGATTCACTCAGTAGAAGCCACTGCTTTCCAGACAACACAGGTAAATGGAAGAGCCACAAAGCCTGGAAGTTAAAGGCACTCTTGAGGGAGACAGGTTCGAATCCAAGTGCTGTCACTCATGAGTAGCAGGGCTATCGCTATAGGATGCAATGGTAGGCTTCTTCATTTTAAAAAAGAAAAAATAGATGGGTATAAAATGAGTCAACGCTAATGAGCTAGCACAGCCCGCACTCCACGCGCGTCTTCTCCTCTCCGCTCAGCACCTTACCAGCAGAGCAACTGTGGATAGGAGTCTGAGAAAAACCCGAGCAAATCTCAAAGGATGAGAAGGACCAAGAAATAAGAATCTCCAGGAGGTACAAAGCACATGGCTGAGAGAGTAAAAATAAGCCTTGGTGAAATCCTCTCTCTGTGACAGTAGCTGACATGAGAAGGCGCAGCCCCGTATCTTGATAAATGGGACAGAGCTGCTGCTACTGTAAGGTTGGCCAACGCTGGCTAGGAAGAAACCTGGAAAGAGGCTAAGTTGATTTTGCACACTAGCCTTGCCCTCTCCTTAATCCTTTCTTCTACCTTGCCGCAGCTCTGCCTCAGGTACTTAGTTTCATAACCCAGCCACTCCACTAGCTCCGTCCTCTCCACGTACACCAAGGGCCTTGCGATCAGGCATCAGGTATTGCCTGGCTGAAGGAGAACTTCCTAAGAATGTATGCATGTTAGAATATTATTCAGCTGTAAAAAAATGAAATCCCATCATTTGAGACAATGGGGTGGAACTGGAAGACATCATGTTAAATGAAATAAGCCCACAAAGCAAGAGAAACGCTCAATGTTCCCACTCATTTGGAAACTAAAAATGTTGAACTCATCAGAGAAAAGAGTAGAATAATGGTGAGGATGGGGTGAGAGGGAGAAAACGTTTAGAGTATGGGAATCAAAATGCAGGTGATTAGAAGGAATTAGTTCTAGAGTTCTAAAGTGGAGTTGAGTAACTGTAGTGCATCACCACTTATCACATATTGGAAAATAATTACAATAGTTTAAAGGTTCCTAACATAAAAAAAATGATAAATCCCGGAGAAAATGAAAATACCAATTGCCCTCATTTGATCACTACATATTGTATAGATGCATTAGATTACCACAGTGATCCCATAAGTAGGAACAAATACTATGTGTCAATATGTGTTAATTAAAATTAAAATATAAACATATCAGCAGGGGAGATCAGTGGTCTAAGCATCTGCCTGTAAAGCACAAAGCCAAGGTTCAATCCTCAGTACCTCATGCTGTGCCAGCCCCAGAACACCAGGCACACTGTGCTGGCCACCAAACCCAGGCATGGTGGTGCAGGCCTGTAATCCCCGTGCTGGGGAGGCTGAGACAGAAGGATCAGCAGAGTGGGAGCTGCATAGCAAGCCCCTGTACTGCAGGTAACTCACTACTATTATGGGCCGCTGGACTACATTGGATTATTTCGCTGAATTCATGCACCTACAAGATTTGAATGGCAATGGAACGCCCATCTCTGACAAAACTAAACAAAAATGGGGGCTACAAATGAAAGTCCATTATGTAGTTAAATATATGTCTATACAAGATAGAACAGATATACAGCTACTTTCTCTTAGTTCAATGAGAAGAAAGATTTATACCAATAGTGCTTAGACAATATATCATGTCTGTACCAAATACATAAATAAATACTTTTAAAAATTTAAAAAATATATAAACAGATGCCTTCCTGGTTCCACTGAATTCCATCCAGTTGGTCAGAGACAGACTTGAGTATCCATATTCTTATAAGTTCCTCAGGCAATTCTTAGGTATGGTCATATTTGGGAATCCTGCTTCTAGACTTTTCCTGCACAGAAATCAAAACTTATCTCTCCTAGGGCTCGGTCTTCCAGAGCCTTTTGATTCCCTAACCTATCTAGAAATCTGATTTGTGTTTTAGGTCCTTGAATCATTAATTGGCAATAACTTCATATATTCCCCCACCCCAAGATTTTACACCAAGGACATGTTATGCCATAGGCAAAAAATACCAAGAGAAGTAGAGACGTGAGGAATCCCCTTCACCTATCTTATAGGTGGGTTGCTCCTAAAGCTACAGATTTCTCATCCTCTTCCCATTCTCCCCGTAGAGAGGCCACTGTACCCATGAAGGACTGTGGAGGACCACCTGAGCAGCTCTCCTTGAAAGAAGAGTGGCTGTCTCCATTTTGACTGAGCCTGACCCTATTTCCTATGAACAGAGCTGGCTAGGACTTCTGTTTATCAGTTGGCCTTAGGTAAACGTAGGTCACCTACCTAGCTTAGCTCACAATGATTACCTACTTCCCACAACTCTCAGTCAATCCTCCTCAAGCCACTCCCCCACTGAATAAAAACAGGGTGAGGCCCTGGGTCGCTCTCTTGGCTCCGGAAAGCCATCTTCGTGGCTGGACTTAGAGCCCCTTGACTCCCCGATGATTGAAAATATAATTTAGTGTCTTTATTTTCGCCGTGGGTAGCATTGTAAGTGGTAGATTGGAATCAACTTGATGGGATTCCAATAACGTAACTTTGGGATTATAAATATTGGCTTCTTGGACCTAGACGAGGTCCAGGAAGAGTCTCCTACAAAAGACACACTCTGGATAAAAGTTTGGAGGCACCACAGACACCCAGATTAAATAACACCACCACCACAAACACACAGTGAGCATCGAAGGCCCAGCACCGCCCCATGTATTTTATAAAAAGATCTCCCCCTGCTAAAACAAAGGGGTATTTGCTGATAAGCACATAACTGGGTGACTTCAGCACTTTGTGTCCTGAGAAAAACTAAGAGGGCTACACTGTCACCAGGTGACATATCTAACAGGACCACAGTCTTACCTGTTGCCTACTGTTGACTAAACCATAATTATGTGGGGCATAATTAGTATTAGTAAATTCTGTGATAGCATTCGCATTCCTGTTTTACAAATGAAGAAGCTGAGATACAAGGAAATGAACCTGCCTACGTTTATACAGGCAACAACTGTCTGAGGATGGCAGAAGAAAATATTTCACGGGAACCAAAGACTATACAAGGGCACGAAACTCCAGCTTCACAGAGACAGATCTTGTCTCTCATTCTTTCTCTCTTCCAAAGAGAACAATGTCAAGAAATAGTAAAACTTTTGGGAGAGAGAAGCAAGAAAGGCAAATGTATCGCTAGAAAACAGCAACCAGGACTTTCTAGTTGAGAATTACTGGACTCAAGGGTCTGAGGCCTCCTCCTGGCATTCGGCTTAGGAAGGCAAGCAGTGCCCTTTCTCTGGACAGCCTAGGGATGGGGGGTCATGGGAGCAGGGGTGCTATATAGCAGGTTCCTTCAGTTCTAGGAAACCAGAATTGCCTGTGAGATCAGGAAGGAGGAGCCAAGCACTGGCTTTATGCAGGCTGCCCAGGCCAGATCTTGAGGGTGAAAAGGAGCCAGAAATTTCTCTGAAAACTGTTCAGGTATACACATTTTATCTAGTTGAATCTAGACTGATTTGGAAATCCAAATAGCTTCTTATGTAGATCATATCAAAATGGATTAAGACTCACTTCTACTTGGCAGGACTTCCCTTGACTCTGACACTCGTGTCCTGCCCCTCCAGCTCTGCTAAGAGAGACAGCAGAGCTAGAATGACAAATGCATTGAGAATCTCCTCCTCAGATGCACAGTCTATAAATGACTGATCTTCGAGCACCCCTCTTCTTGATGATTTGAAGGGGACACTGTCCCCCACGTTCCCATTCTGCTCCCTTGGCTCACAACTGAGCCTTGTGTCTGAGCAGTCATTTGGACCTTGATGACATCATTAATAAGAACTAATAATGCATGGACGCTTCCTGGAATGCAAAAAGTAAAATTAAAAACAGTCTCCCTAATTGGACTTGGGTCACTATCCTTAAGGATTTTCAGGAGGTTCTGAGGAGATGCAAACATATCCCTTGGACACCATTATCCAGATGTCCTGCCACAAATGACCCAAGAAAGACCAAAGGTCTTCAGCTGCCAGTGCCAAACAGGGGACCACACCCCCTCCTCACCGCAACACACAACCCCCAGTGGAAACCCCAGGCCTCACAAATCGTCCTGCCACCCTCTAACGAGCTAGCACGCTGACTCGTCCAGAGAGAGCGGAAGGCACCAATCCCAAAAGCCAGAGAACAGCTTCTTTAACAAGATTCTGTTTGAAAAAGATATTTAAGTGACGTTGTGCTTGATGAAGTAAAATAGAATTAGCTGCTTCGGTAGCACCAGCTTCTGAGAGTCACTCTAAGGGAGACCGGCTTATTCCTTCCAAGTGGAACAAATGCAACAACAATATATCACAGTTAACTGTCCTCACCGCTCCACGGAATTTCAGCTGGGGCCCAGAGCACACGGAGGGGCACTTAATATTCCCCAATCTGCAATCAACCTTTTGTACATTTGTTCCTAATCACAGGGTACAGTTTCCCCTTAATGAACTGTTTTCTTACTGTGTTACGGATGGTCATTTCAGCATGCCTAATGGCCCATCTGATAGGTTAAATGACAATCAAGGTCCCTTGGTTTCATTTCCTGGCAAGTCTTGGAGGGGTATGATTTTCCTCCCCTCCCTATTAAAGATGAGAGACAAAGACTTACCGATTGCAGTCCACGTGGAGCAGGAGGTGAGAGGCACTAAGGGACAGGGCGACCTTGTGCCACTGCCCGTCCGCCATCCGGTAGGGGAGCGCCTCCGTCCTGGGCTTCCCACTGTGCATGTAGTGATACCGAATCTCATCCCTCAGGCCACTGCTCTCCAGCTCGAAATAGCTGTAAGCCAAGGAACAGAAGTTGGTTTTATTTTAGTTCCAGGCAACATGGCTATCACCTTACTACTGGGACTCTCTGAATCTAAAATCAGGTAAGCACCACACAAAGAGCCATGACCTGAAATCAACTGTGCACTTGGGACCCAACTCACCTGTTGTTTGAGCCTCTGAAGGGGATGGAGATCAAGGGATCTGCTGTCAGGTGAGGAGTCATGGCTAATTAGCAAAGTTTGGGGCAGCATCTCTCACATACTTAAAAGCTCACATTGGAACCCGCTTCCTATTGTCTAAGAAAGGCCATTCATGAGGGAAGGATTTATTGATGTTTATTGTTAGATCTGCCATCTTAACTTTTTCAGGAGTTGTAAGAAATAAAAGTCACATTAGACATGAGGGATTGAAATACATTCATTACAAGAGCAAAGGAATTAGTTAAATGCTCTTTTCCTGGCTCCCTTCCTTCCTTGGACAAAGAGTTTGAACTGAATAATTGCTAGAAGATGAGAAAGGCAGAAGAGGTTGAAGTAACCCACAAATGAGCCATAATTTCAAGTCATCACACAATGAACTGTGCAGCCAGCTTCTCTTTGCTGAGATTTTTTGCGTTTTCCGAATGCACAAGAATTTTTAGTATTACTACTAGAATCAGAACTTTGGTCCAAAAGTGAAACAAGTGATTTGGGGACATGCTTCAGCAGACCCGGCACTTTCATGGGTTAAGAACAGCATTTTACCTTCTACACCTCTCTTTCTAGATATGTCCCTGTCCCTGGCATCAACATCCAGCCTCACCCAGCTGCCAGGCATTATACTAGCATATCACTCCACTGTCTAATTTATTGCCCATGAAAATCTATATGATTGATACGATTATCCCTTTTTTATTACTTATTTATTGATTGATTGTATTTTAGGGAAGGGTCTACAGGGTGTTCAGGGTCTCACTACTAGACCAGACACATAGTGATCCGCCTGTTTACAGCCTCCCAAGAGCTGGGATTATAAGCATGAGCCACCACACTCAGTCTCAATTGCCCTCTCAGGGGTGGCACGGCAGGCCTGGTGATCAAATCCCAGGCCCCTGCACCTGCTTGCAGGCGCTTTAATCCGCTGAGCTATTTGGCCTTCCCTTAAGATTATCTCTTTTTTAAAGATTAAAAAAATTAACATTCAATGATTAAACAACATACCCAAGACAAGGTTTAAACTCAGATCTCAGTTGGAAAGTCTGTGTACTTTACAGAAGGTGGTATGCTTTCCAAAAGTTTGTGACCAACTCAGAGGACGTGCCCAGGCATGGCAAGGATGACCTCCATGCCATCTGCCTGCAGTGTATCCCTAGGACAACTCAAGAGCTACTTACCTAGACAGGGTGCCATACCATGTCTTGCTCTAGATGGACCTGCTGCTTTGCCCTAATCCACCTGGTGGCGAGATCCTGAGAGCTAGACTGTACCTAATCTAAAATATAAAGCGCATCTTCTATGAGGATGAAATGACTATATCATGAAGCTCGGCCTACACTGTGCATGACGCCCAGACCTCATGGGAGGGAACACATGCATACTGCTTGCTCATCTCTTACAAGGGTTGTTTCCAAGAAAAAAATTCATGGGTAGAAGAGGATTAAGACCAGCCCTTGGCCCACCTCTCTTACACAAGTACAAAGTCCCAGACATACACTGAAGAGGTTATGTACATAGTAGCAGCCAGGACATGGACCAAGGTACATACATATTAGTAATAATTAATGTAACACAATTGTATGAGGTCAGAAAGGAAGAACTTCCTTACAACGTATCTTAAGGAAACTTCAATTTCTCCTAAGTAGCTGAAACAGTGGAAGAATCAATCACGGAAGAATCAATCAGGTGAAAGACAAGACAGTCTTAGAGATTACCTGAACATTTATTAATTCATTCACAATGTCTTTATGAAACACATAATGAAAGAATTTAAACAGTAAAATACACATGTGCTTTGAGACCAGTGAAGAACATATTAAAATGTGTCCCCACCAAAACAGTAGAGAGTGGCCTAAGAGACACAAAGGAGAAGGCAAGGGAAGGTGACCTTAGATGAACGGATGTCACAAGCCAGGCACATGCCACATGCTTTCACAGACCCCATCCCACTGAACTTCTAAATGTACAATAGTATCCTGCTTTATCGATGGGTTCACACAAGATCAGAGATATTAAGAGTTTTGCCCCAAATCCCTCAGCTCGGATAGAGAAAAGCACCATGATCTTAAAACGGAGACTTTAGAAAGATTCAAATGTCACAAGAAATATCTCAGTTACTTTGTGTTGGCCAATTTTTTGAGTCCTGTGGGAGAGGACATGACCTGAAAATAACTCCAATCAATGACAATTAGATATGCTCATAAAGATCAGCTGACGCAATCATTAAGAGGGAGGTAAATATGTTTAACAGGATTTAATCAGCATTCCTGGGGCTATGGCCTCACTGAGCAAGTGCATAATACAGTGTAAATAGATCAGTTAAAGATGACTTTACAAAGCATGGGAGAAAATGATTACCTTGCAGTAATCACGAATGTAGAGCCATGAGAGGAACTTGTGACCTGACGTTCCACACATGAACACTGGTGCCCTGGGGTACGGTCTTGGACAGCGTCATGAAGTGCTGTCTCTCAGACAACTTGGGTGAAATTAAGGACCTTCCCGGCCATGTCTGGTAGGTAACTGGTGAAGTGACATGAGGGAGAGAGAAACTGGAAATGGCTAAGTGACATCGGGACAAAACCATGTCATGAAGGCTGAGAGGGGCATAAGGCGAGGCTATCCAGGCAGTAATTCCAGCAGAAATGAGAGACCTGCCCCTGACAGCAACTGGAGGATAAGCCCAATGGGACGTGGCTACAGTGAGGAAAGGAGGTCGAGCTCGATCTGCAGGAAAGCCCCGTCCCCCACAGTGCGGCCTGCAAACCAGCGTCACCTGTGCAAACTCAGCTTCCTGGGCCCCACCCAAGGTTCGTGAGTTAGAGCCTGCATTTCAACAAGACCCCAGATGATTCATGCGCACATTAACATTTAAGACACGCTGCGGTGGAGTACACCAGGTGCTGCTTTACTTCCCGGCCAGCTGGCGCTAATGAGGGGGCAGAAGTCTGATGCTACAAGCTGGTGACTCGGAGCCACGTGGCACTGGCAGGTGGAGGAAGGAGATTGGAAGTGATCAGTCCACCTTGACAGCTCTCACTCTGCAGGCCTCAAGGGCTCTGGGGTCTTTCTGGAGCCTGGAGAAGGACAGCACAGGTCTCTGCGTGATAACTTGTCGGATCTGTGGGTACCCCTTGTCCCCTTAACCTTGGACCTCAGCCAAGCCTGTGATTCCAAAGAACTGACTGCTGGCTCCCAGGAGCCTGCTGGCCCATGTTGCAATACCTAAACCCAGCAATGACACTCCCTCTTACTAGATTTTTTCTTTTTCTTGCCAAACATTCTTCCTTGGCACGCCTTTTTCCCACCTACACTCTGCACCTGGACACTTCCACATGTTACTTCCTGTGCTTTTAACACAGTCAAATGAATCAATATTCCACTTCCATTCAGCATCTATGAATAAAGGCACGTGTGCAGACGGGGACGAACGCGAAACATGGAGCCATTATCTCCTGCTCTCCCCTGGGCTATGCCCAGGCATGGATGTTCCCATCATTCACACAGACTTCTTCATCAGCCAAAGCCCAAGTCCTTTCACACCAAGTGCTGTGATGGCAAATCCTTCCAAAGGTCTCCAGAGCTGAGCTGTAGAGCCCAACCCTCACTTAAGCATTAGGCAGACCCTACTCCAGAACCTGAGTAACTCCCCAGAGCCCACCTGTGGGCACTGGGGACAATCTCATGACCAGAACTGAGGTTCAGTTTTACAGGACTGGAATCATTTCGGCAGTACATACGCTAAAAACTCTCCTGGGATTATTGCATTCCATGGTATATTTGGAAATAAAATTCAGCAAAGTAACTTCTAAATAATATAGATAGATATACAAATATTTGTCATTTCCTCAAAATTGATACAATATGTCTCATTTTGAGATTATACACATGTGTAGAGATTATGAACTACATATATCTCATGTGAAGACTATACATGGAGCATGACTGGAAAATACTGTCAATGTTTAAAGCCTTTAAAATGTATTAATCAAAGCACACATCACCATTAATCTCCCTCAAAATTCCCCTCTGACCGTGAATACAGGTCTCCAACCATGCCTGCCACTTTCTGAAGCAGCTCTCGACATCCTCTTTCATGAGCATCTTCAGTCGCGCTATCACAGTTGCCCTGGTGTCCTTAACTGACGCAAACCATTCGCCCTGCATGGTCATTTTCACTTTGGGGAAGGGTCCAACAGTGCCAGCTCTGGTGAGGAAGGAGGACGAGCACACAGAGCCACGCTCTCATGAGCCTGCCCTCCTGTCAGATGGCACTAGACTCCAGATAGCAGCATTCGAGCCATTTTTTATCACTTCTCAAAAGGGCTCATGAGAGGCCTTTCAGGCCACTTCATAAAGTGGCAAGCACAGGGAGAAGAGCATGTGCAAAGCAGGGAGAGTGGCTTGGGGGAGGCTGATGGTGACACATCTTTTGCTGTATTAACCTTTTAAAAATTTAAACGTTGACTGTAGTTTTTTTTTCCATTTAAACAAGAAAAAAGATAAAATAACAATGGAACAGTTTCAAAACAGTTTAGTAGGACAGTTATAGTAAGTAATAAATTGCATATTGCTGTCTTTGTAGTAATTTTTCAGAGGACAAGATATAGACATGATATCTTGTCTAAACAATATTAGTACAAACATTTCTTCTCAATGAACTAAGAGAAAGTAGCTGTATATCTATCCTAACTACCTTGCATGTACATATATATATATATATATATATATATATAAACATATATGTTAGAATATCCATGGTTGTTGGAAAATAACAGTTCCATTTTATGTCTAAGATGTTTGATATCCAGACAGA